TGTTCGGGCAATAACTTGACATTGGATCCATGGGTGTATCAATTGGTTTACACCCCAACATACCAGTCTCTTCTAGGATATCCAAGGCATACTTCCTTTGACAGATAGAAATGCCCTGTCTAGATTGTGCTACCTCAATTCCCAAGAAGTAACGCAGCTTCCCGAGGTCCTTTGTTTGAAATTGACTGAATAAATATTGTTTTAACTGACGAATTCCAGCTTGATCACTCCCGGTGAGGATGATGTCATCAACATAGACTAACAAATAGATGCACTTACCAGGAGATGTGATCCTATAAAATACAGAATGGTCAACTTTACTGCGAATTAAGCCAAACGCGTGAACAGCAGAACTGAAGCGACTAAACCATGCCCGAGGAGACTGCTTAAGACCATATAAGGATTTTTGAAGACGACACACCTTGCTAAACTCCCCCTGAGCAACAAAACCAGGTGGTTGCTCCATATAAATTTCTTTTTGTAAATCACCATGAAGAAAGGCATTTTTTATGTCAAGTTGAAGGAGTGGCCAGTGACGAACAGCAGCAAGAGCAAGAAATAGGCGAACTGACGCCATCTTAGCGACCGAAGAGAATATATCGCTATAATCAAGGCCGAAGATTTGAGTAAAACTCTTTGCAACTAGGCGTGCCTTGAGTCGATCAACATGGCCATCAGGTCCAACTTTCACAATAAAAACCCAGTGACAACCAACGATAGATTTCTCTGGAGGAGCAGAAACAAGGTCCCAAGTGCCATTGGAATGAAGAGCAGTCATCTCATCAAGCATCACTTGGCGCCACCCTGGATGGGAAAGTGCTTCACCTGTGGTCTTAGGAATAGAAACAGAAGAAAGACTAGAAACAAAGGTGAAATGAGGTGGAGAAAGACGGTCATAGCTCAAAAAGGTATAAAGAGGATAAGGGTTACGAGTAGTATGTGTACCTTTTCTTTGAGCAATGGGAAGAGCCTCTGGTGAAGGAGCCGGAGGGGAAGAATCAACAGCAGTGGACGATGAGTCAGCAAGAGTCGAGTCGACAGGAGGCACAGTTTTGCGACGCTGATAGGTGAAAAGTGGACAGTCCTCAGGTATAAAAGCAATAGGTTGCTCATCTGGAATAAAAGCACTTGCAGCTGGCAAAGACAAGTCAAGAAAAGGAACAGGAAGAACATGATCAACCTGTGACAATTGAGATGGGATAGAATTAAAAGGTTGTTGATCAAGAAAGATGACATCGGCAGAAACTAAATAACGCTTAAGATCGAGAGAGTAACAACGATAACCCTTTTGAAGACGAGAATGACCAAGAAAAATACATTTAAAGGCTTTGGATGTTAACTTGTCCTTACCAGGAGTGAGATCATGAACAAAACAGGTACAACCAAAGACATGAGGGGATAGAGGATAGAGAAGAACATCTGGAAGCAATAAGTTATAAGGAATTTCATTATTAAGCACAGATGAAGGCATACGGTTGATGAGAAAACAAGAGGCAAGGACTGCATTGGCCCAGAAGTGAAGAGGAACATGCATGTGAATGAGAAGAGTCCGTGCAGTCTCAATGAGATGTCTATTCTTACGTTCAGCTACTCCATTTTGTTGTGGAGTGTGAGGACAAGTAGTTTGGTGTAAAGTACCATGTGTGGCTAAGAAATTAGAAAAGTCAACAGAAACATATTCCATAGCATTATCACTACGTAAAATACGAATAGAAGCACCAAATTGAGTATGAATTTCAGCAGAGAATTTTTGATAAATAGAAAATAACTCAGAACGGTTTTTCATTAAATAAATCCAAGTACAACGGGAAAAATCATCAATAAAGGTAACAAAATACTGAAAACCTAAAACAGACACACTACGACTAGGACCCCAAATATCTGAATGAATAATTGAAAAAGGAGCATCAGCTCGTTTATTGACTCGATTAGCAAACGAGGAGCGTATGTGCTTTCCTTGCTGACATGACTGACAATCTAAAGTCTGAAAACCGGATAAAAGAGGAACCATCTTCTGTAATTTTGAAAGACTAGGATGCCCGAGGCGACTGTGGATGAGTTGTGGAGATTCTGTGAGAGAACAAGCAACTGAAAGACTCGGCATAACCAGGTAGAACAGACCCCGTGACTCACGACCCACTCTAATCGTCTTCCCCGTACCCGGGTCCTGCACAGAAACAGAATGGTTTGAGAAGGTGACAATACAGTTAAGAGAGTTGATCGATTTACTAACAGATATTAAATTATAAAGGATGTTAGGAATGTAATAGACAGATGTCAAGGTCAATGAAGAGGTTGGACAGATTTGTCCAATCCCATGAACAGGGGCCTTAGTGCCATCAGCAAGAGTAAAAAAGGGTAAATTATCAGAATATGCAAGGGATGAAAAGAGTTCCTTATTACCACAGAGGTGATCAGTAGCACCTGAGTCAAATATCCAAGGACCAAGTGATGCAGAATGAGAAACACAAGCAACGGGATTATCACTTTCTGAAGCAGAGGCCTGAGACTGAGGAGAGGCCTTCCTGAGAAAGGTCTGGAGTACTGCATAGTCTTCAGAGGAGAGAGAGACTGTACCATTTGAAGCAGCATCCGATTGAGCTATATTAGCCGCATGAGAAGGTCGCAGGTGAGGATACTTTGTGTAGCAACGTTCCTCATAATGACCAAGTTGCTAACAATAATGACAACGAGGTCGCTGGCCACGTCTTCCTGGGCCACGTCCTCCCTGGCCTCTACCACGACCACGTCCACCTCCAATGTTCTCGCGAAAGTCAATACGGAAAACTAGAGCAGTGGAATCAACAACAGCAGACGATGCAGGAGCAGATTTCTTATTAAGATTCAGAAGACGCTGATACGTCATTGATAGATCAGGATCCCCACTAGTCAAGATAGTATCCCGGACATTATCATATTCTTCGGGGAGACCAGACAGTGTGACAACCATAAAGAGACGTTCCACCTGTTTCTGATATGCAGAAGCATCAGTAGGATAAGGCAACATATCCAAATATGCCTGCATCAAAGATCGACTTTTGCCAACATATGTCTCCATCTGAATGTCAGATGATTTGCTCAGTTCCATAAACTAAGAAATGATGAAATAGAGCTGCTGAACATCATTAGTGTAGAGGTTTTTTGCTTCCTCCCACACTTCAGTGCAAGTTATAGAAGAATAGAAGATGTCCAAGACGACTGGATCAATAGACTGACAAAGGATACTCAGAAGCTGGTTGTCAATCTTTTCCCAATCAGACTTTTCCTCCTTAGGAACATCAGTAGACTTAGTTGTGAGATGGTTCCCATGTCCCTGTCCAAAGAACCAAACTCGAACAGAGATGGCCCAGTTCTTGTAATTCACAGAACCCTTCAACTTTGAAGAGGTAATGGATCCAACATTAGTGGAGATGATATTGGGAGAACTTTTGACAGGAGGAGGTGGAGAACTGACCTCCGAATGAACAGGAGAAGTTGTTGCCATTATATTAAATCACAAAGATATAAACCGAGTAAATAGGAACGAACCTGATCACCAATCAAGAAGAGGTGCGCACAAAAAGTCAGACCCACAGAGAACCAACCACAGATCTGGAAAGAGGAGAAGAAGGCGAGCTTCTCTGTCCAAGACCGACCGGAAAAAGCTGCCGGAACAGTGCACACGCGCCGGTAGAAGGTGGCGCGTGACGGCTGCGATGGTGGCCGGACTTCCACAGACTTGATGGCCGGGAGGAGACGGTCCTGATCGCGTATGGTCCGGGCTGAAAACTCGCCGGAAAACTTCTCCGGCAGCCTGAACAGTGATGGACGGTGGTTCCGGTGGCCGTCGGAGGTGCTGACGCGTTCGGGAATTACTCAGAAGGGGTTAACAGCCCTTGATGGCTTGCCGAAAGGACGCACGGCAAAGAAAAGAGGACTCTTAAGCAGTGGGCTTAGGTTTTAAAGCGAAAACAAGGTTTTAAGCGGAAGCGAGGGTCCCCAGAACAAAAGAGCTCTGGTACCAACTTGAATATAAAATAATATGTTGTGTATTAATCTGATACAAAGAGTTACAATATATAGAGACCCTAATGGGCTTAAGTGAGAAGCCCAGAACTAATCCAAAGGAATAATATTTACAGATAGGAAGTAATCTAATCATATCTAATCGTATCCAATCGTATCTAATCATATCTAATCATATCTATTCTAACAGAGGCAAAGGACGTCGACAAACGAGGATAGACTCTTGGCATGGTGAGAGGAGCCTACGACGATGGCACATGTCTTACACCGGCAAGCAAAACAATGCAAGTGTGGCAATGCTTGAAGGAGGCTTTGAGGCTAGGTCTCCGAAGTAGGCTGCTAGGCGAATGGCGGTTTGTCTAGCAGGATCATTGATCAAATTGAAGGAGGCAAATGGCGATAGTTGTGGATTAAGATGCCAGGAAAGGACTGATCGCGTCGAAGGCCCAAAACGAAAGATCAAAGGCGGCAGCTGCAATGATGGCAAATTAGGGCTTCTTTTTCATGGAAGCAAAGTCTCCCGAATCAAGAGCTTCGATACCAAGTTGAAATTTGAAATTCTGAATTTTATTAATTTATTTTTTTATATACAGAGTGTTACAATATATCAATAGATATAGTAATTACTTTCCTAATAAGGAGCCAAATCTAAGGAAACAAATCTTCTCTATAGTCTCTCACAAATATTTCCTATCATAATTTGTCTTATATAAAGGAAAAACAAATCTACAATAATTACATGAGTATTCCTTTTATATTTACAACACATAACATCCACTAAATTTAATATAAACTTGCCACAATTCCTCTTTTAAAATTTCTTGCCAACATGCAGTATAATTGCATATCATTATTTTCAACATTTCTATTTGCAGACTCAGGAAGTAACTTTTCCACGTTCTGCAAAATAAGATACCGCAGGAGATACATTGATGAATGAACAAGCAAAAATGATAGTCATTGTATGACTTCTTAAGGAAAATATTATATCTTACTTGGTTAGCAATCGGTGTAGGTGATTCTAGAGCTCTCCCATCGAATCTTCTGTTATTTATAGCAAGTCTAGTCAGCTTAGATAGACTCTTGTCTCTTTGATTTGAAAACGAGTGTGAAATACCACTACAGAATACAAACATGAGAAAAACATCACACGGACCTTACTTCAATATATTTTTCCATAGGATTCAGAAATTTTTATCCCAAACATGAAAAGCAAGTAGAAGACATATCAACATTCTTTTCCAGGCAAGGTAAATTAGTAAGTACCGATTGAGATACTTCATTCTCCTATCTGCAGAAGCTCTGGAAAGCGCTTCTTTGGGGCTTGAAACCAAATCATCATCTATGCTTAGTTTTGTCTTCAGATCATCTGGCAGTGCCTGCAGTTTGACGAGATCAGTCATTCAGTGTCCAAATATGCAAAGCACAAGCAAAAGGTGGTATAATGACTCATACCATCACATCATTTACAAGTTTTTCTAGCTGAATTTGTTCAATATAAGTGCGAGGAACATATGAACCATCCAACCCCAGTTTCTCTGCTACAAACTTAACATAGTTTCTATCTTTCCCTTGCACCTTCAAAAAAAATGAACAAGTATTTAGTTACTGACAACAAAGGAAACAAATACACAAACAGAATAGGTGTGGGCATTTGGCCCGAGTCCCATTGGCAACCCAAGTCAATCCGAAAATTTTATGTGCTTGGGTTTAAAATAAGTGCAGGAAAAAGGCAATTTACAAACAGGGATATACCTGAGCTTGAGTTTTCAAAATCAGGGCCAATATGCTCCACACACACACACATATATATTTATGTAGTCATTAAAATGGGCTGAGTGGTGGTCAAGGTTGGGCTCTATAACTTTATTACACACCAAAACAGGGCTAGATATAAGCCTGACTAGCCCTTAGTGCTAATACAGCGTTTAAGCCTAGCCCATGGCCACTCTTACACACGGGAAAAGAAAAAAAATATGGATAGGTGAAAGATTTTATATATAAACAACAATGAAACATATAAGATGCTCATTTTAACAGAACAACAGATCAACAGTTATTAGTCAAAATTCAGAGAATAATTTTTCATATTGAAACAAGAATGCTTCCTAATAGTCAATGTATTTTCACAGAGGAAACAGGAAAGGACATATTGTTAGAGATATATATAAAACCATTAATGTAGCCTCACCCTACAGCTTCAACTTTTGGGTTGAATTGGTTCTTTACATGGTATCAGAGCGTCGGTGTCACGGGTTCGATCCTCACCCCCCCCCCCCATTTAATTAACAATTAATCAAGTCTTGTAGAGTTTCTTAGCACAGGTATGAGGGTCTGTGAATTGTTCACCCTTCAAGCCCAATGGGCTCTCGCGTGAGGGGGCGTGTTAAAGATATATATAAAACCATTAATGTAGCCTCACCCTATGTAGCACCCATACGACACGCGACACGTGACACGACACGACACTCTCACACGTCAATCCTAAAAAATTATGGATTTCGACACGTTGGGACACGTTTTAATATTAAATAATATTTTTAATTTATATAGTGTATATTTCATTTAATATTTAATAATTTAACAAAAAAATGAAACTAAATTAATAATACCCATCAACACGTTATAAAGATGGAAGCTTTAATAAAAAAAATAAGAACTGGGATGAGAGAGAGATATAATATCAGATAGAGAGATCAAATCATATTAGAGAGATCAGAGAGAAGAAGATACAACAAGAGCATGATAGGAATTGACAACAATGATGCTGAAATGATCTCTTATCTACTTAAGGGGAAAAAAGACAAAAAGATAAAATTGATATGATCAGGTGGAAGCTTTATTAATATATTTTAACTTTTAAAAAAAATAAATTTTTTTAAAAAAAAAAAATTTAAAAAAATTACGAAAATGTCATTTGACCGTGTCGAACACGGTCAAATTCGCGTGTCGGAATGGTCAACGTGTCGGACAAAGTCAACCGCGTGTCCGACACCGTGTCGGAGCGTGTCGGAGTGTGTCGGACCCGACTCTTCCTGTTTTTACAAGTGTCCGTACTTCCTTGGCCTCACCCTACAGCTTAAGCTTTTAGGTTGAATTGGTTCTTTACACATATCAATGAATGAAACCTAGAACCCAAAAAAAATAAAAAAGATTTTCAAAACCTTTACATCATATATTAACTGTGAATCAACCATAGAACGAATAAAGGAAACACAAATAGTTAATAATAAGAGTCAACTTATATGCAATATATCAATATCTTCTAGAATAAGATATTGTATTAGTAATAAGATACTTTACCTTTTTTGATAAACTAATAAGATACTCTATCAACAAATATGTTTGACTGACATTCAGTCCTTCTTCCATATGTATTTAATAAGCATCAGATATTTGAAATTCAGCACATAAATACATAGTAAATGATTGTCTAACCACCAAAGGCATAAGACGGACAAAATGGAAGTCAATAAAAAAGTGAAAACTGAGTGAATAATAATCAAGACATGTTCTTAGCATGTGGAATAAAATCATGATATAAAACATTAGTAAGGTATTACCATAGCGAAGGTTAAGAAACAAAAAAAAGGTGGCACAATGCACAAGGCTCTGACTGCTGTGGGGTCTGGGGGAGGGTTAAATGTAAGCAGCCTTACCCCTGTAAATGAAGAGGTTGTTTCCACAGCTAGAACCCATGACTAGCAGGCCACAAGTTAATAAAAACAAACATGGATAAATAGGATGTGAACTACTAAGAACATACGGACCAGCTAGCACTGGAAAATTTATTGCACCCAACAATTAAATCTGTAGATAAAGAACATACATTTTTGAGTGATACCATTCGCAGACAACAAACAGTAAGGGTAGACTAAGACCAAAAGGCATAAAAAAAGTGAAAAGGGGAATATATGAACAATATGCTGTTATACCTGAACATATAGGCGATTAAGTTGTTCTAGCCAATCAGTTTTTATGGACACTTTATCATCATAAAATACATGGCTGCTTCTTTTCAGGATAGCTGCAATTGTGTACCCCAAGGCCATCAGCCCTCCAAGAAGGCGCACGCTGACCTCAAAAGTAATTCTAGGTGATATTATGAATGGACTATCTGTAACCCATTCCTGAAAACAAGAGAGGACTATCATTGTAGAGGTCTTTTCAGTAATTTTTATGCTAAATGCAAACTTCACAGCAAATCTCAGACTCATGTAGGATATCGAAAGAGAAGATCTGAGAACAGGTTTTTTAAATAACTGTCAAACATTTTGAAACAAACTTCACACTTCTTTTAACCAATGTTTTTTAGCAGCACATGAGCACATATGCATACACACACAACCATAGAGATAGAGCATGAAAGAGAGAAAGAAAAGATGATAACCCACTAATCATGGACAAAAGCGCCTATCAAAGAAAGAAGTTTGAGACAAACACCATAAAGAAGGCACAGTAAAGGAAGGAAAACAAGTAGAGTAGATGATTCATTAATTATGATGACTCATTTTGCAAAGAAGCTGTTGTAGGTATGTACACCCAACAAAAAAAAAAAGCTGTATACAAGTTGCAAGTTTTGAAAGTTTTATCAGAGGTGATTTTTTCTGAGGCTGGTTGCATTCAGGCTTCTTTTTCCTTACAGCAGGTTTTTGATAAACTTTTTATTTAACAAACAGAGTTTTGAAAATCTTGGGGAAAAAATTACAAAATAGCAAGTAGCAAACTGTTTGATCAAATAAAGAAAAACCATTTATGAAGCACCAAAAATTAGCTTAGAATTGTGGTTTTTGGGCTTATTTTTATTTTCAGTGATAAAATAATAATTTTTTATTTTAATTTTAATTTTTTTCTAATTTTAGGCTTGTTTGATGCTATTTGGTTTGTGATCAGCTATCTTTATTTTGGGGAAGCATTCTTTTTCTTTTAAGAGTGTTTAATGCTAATTGGATTGTAATCAATTATCTTTAAATTTTTCTTCTTCTTTTTTCTTTAGGCGCTTTAGGGTTAATTTACACCGTATGAAAAGGATGTTTAGGACTTCTATTGAAAGGTTATTGAATTTCTAACCATTTTTTATGTTTTTCGAGAACTAGGGTACTGTATAAATCCCAATTCGCCTGTTTAGCTTATTTTCTATATTTATCTTGAAGCAGAAGCCATGAACAATATTATCAATGAAGTATTGGTATAAAAATCAATGAAGTATTGGTATAAAATAAATGCATATTATTAAACTAGACAAAATTTATGCCTCAGCTAGACATTGGTTTATATTTAGTTATTTGTTTTTTATTTAATTTGGGGATTTTATTTTCGCAATTATAATTTTCAATTTGGAATTATTTTTTGTATTTCATTTTTATTATCTTATTTCAATTTAGAATCAGAATAACTTATTAGGATGTTTGGCTGTGTTATGTCACCAGTGTAAACAATTGAGATGCTTTTGATTATTATGTGTTATTGAGTTTTATGTTACCTTGCCAAGAGGGATACTCTTGGATTGTTCTACAACAAATTTGGCATCAAAGACTAAGAGGGCGTTTGGTACAAGAGAAAAAAAAAATTATCCGGAAAATAATTATTACCGGAATGTAGTGGGAAATATATTTTATTGGAATGTTACTAAAAAGCTGTTTGGTAGACCCATATTTTTCCGAAAAAATTAAGTTAAGTTCTGAGTTTGTGTTTGGTTGGTTATGAAATATTAGTGGGAATAAGAGGTTATTTTACCAAAATAACCCCACCTTTACCTTTTGTGAAGACCCATATCTACAGATCGTACGAATTGAAGGTCAATTTTGTCCACATTTTCGCGCTTTAATTTTGGCTTCCCCGGGCAGTCAACAATTCCACATATTTTTTGGATTTCTCATTTGTCAGACCGTACGAAAATTTTCGCACAAAAGCATTTTCCTGGAAACAAATTTGGCCTGGGAAGTTTTGCAATTTGAGCTACCAAACGTTGGAAAGTATTTTCCCCTACCATGCTTTCCGGTGGATTCAGAAATATAACGCGCCCTAAGTTCTTACCCATTCCCAACATTTTGGTTAATACAGAATCTCCTACTTCCTGCATCTGCCACGTAATCCCTAGCTATGTCCAGTCAGAGCACTCTACCACATCTTCCAACTATAGACTTCCATGTCAAACTTTGATTATCGACCATTGACTTTGACCAAGACCACTTTTACTAGGTTCTTGGGCCTCCCTCAGCAAGATTTTGGGCTCATTTTTTTAGTTTGATGCCAATAACAAGGATCTTGGGCTATACTACATTTCGGCCTCCTAAACTACATTTCAGGGGCATTATCGCCATTTTGAAACTTGCCTAATATTTCTGTTACTAAGGGTTGAGTAATTTGTGTCAGACCTTGCATTTTTCTTTCCCTTTTAGCTTCTCTTTACTTTCCTCACCCCAAAAAAAATAATAATAATAAGAAGAAGAAGAAAAAACATATTTCCTTTTCTTCTTGTTAGCTCTAGCTTTAATTTGCATTCTTCTTTGTCGCTTACATGACATTATTATCTTTTAAGTTTACATTGCATTTAGAGTAGTTTATCATTATCACTTTCTGTGCTAGGTTTAAGGTCTGCATTTTGTTTCTTCCTTATATTTCACTTAGCTTATTATTACATTACCATTTGCTCCTTACAAATTGACGTTGATAACTTGCACTCAGATTTGGTTAATTTAAGCAAATATTTTCCCATTTTATTATCCAATTTGTTATTATGGAAAATATCAATGAGATATCTAACCAAGCCTAGGTCGCAAAACTCCTTCCCTTTATTAGGCACCAAATGGACAAAAACAATGACTGCCTTAGGAAAGGAAGGGAGAGATCTCAGAGGGTTTACAAACTAAAGACAATGAAACCTTGGGTCATGTTGGACAAATCTAAAGAAGTGTGAGTAACTGTCAAGGTGATTTCCCATCATTGTAATATGCATAATGATGATGATCCTCATGAAAGTCAAATTAAAAATCCCAACCTTTGATGGTAGCTTAGATGCATAAGTGTTCATTGATTGGCTTCATCAAATTGAGAACTATTTTCCCCCTTTTTCTTGCTCTGACCCATATAAGGTTAAGTTAGTCACCACTAAGCTTACCAACTCTACTAGATAGTATTGGGGTACTGTTGAGCAAGAGCAACGTCAAAGAGGGTTAGAGCCTACAAATAGTAGGGGTGTGGTGAGCTAAAAACTACAAGATGAATACTTCTTTACCTACCATAGGAACCATCTCATGGACCAAAGGTGAATTGTAGGCAATTATCTAATGGGTTGCTAGTCGTTATCAAGAGAGAGGTGCGACTCTTATCCCCTTCTATCCTTCATGAGACCTTTCATAAAGAAAGGGAGGTAGAACAATTTAATAGGGTACCTCATCAAAGGCGTTTCCCCACCCCACGTTCTCCTCGCCCTTCTCCTTCCCAATCTGGAGCTATTCCTCAGCTCACTATTAGCAACGCTTCTAATTGTGTGTCTGCCTCTAGGCCCACAAATCATGGTAAGATACCTACCACGGCATCAGCAACAAAAGTGCTACAAAAGAGAGTTTGCACCTTTTGACCCATAGGCAGCTTGAAAAATAAAATCTCGAGGCGGATATAGTGTTCGCCACATAGTTGTCAATAGCAGTTAGCGGCCGGTAGCGGCCGACCCCAAAAATGGTATAGCGGTGTAGCGGGTAGCGGTATTGCCACTACGGTGAAGTATTAACAGAACAGTCTTAACTAATATAAATGCTCAACTATCAGTCCACCCATGCTCTAGTTATATATGTCATGCATATTGTTTTGTGTACTTATTGTATATTATATTGTGTGGCTGTTTGTATGTAGGCCTAACCATGGCATACGCATAGCACAAGCTGCACAACAATATATTACAAGCTGGAAAAAAAAGGGAAGGAAGGGACTTGCAATAGCAAATTTGAACGTAAAAGGGAATAAGTAAAAATAAAAGAAAGAATAAGTAAAAAAGTTTACCCAGAAAAATAATACAAGAAAGAAAGTTTACCAAAAAAAAAAAAAATACAAGCAAGAAAAAGTAAAAATAAAACCAGAAGTACCCAAAAAAAAAATAAGCAAAAAAGAATAAGTAAAAATAAAACCAGAAGTACCCAAAAAAAAATAAGCAAAAAAGAATAAGTAAAAAAGAAAAAGAAAGAAGAAGCCTCCATCAAAGAAGAAGAATGGGTAGTGAAGATAAAAGAAAGAGTGAAGAGTGGAAGGAGGAAGAAACAAAGAAGCCTCAAAATGTTGAGAACTTAATGGAAAATAGAAGCTCTCTTGCCGGAGAAGAGTGGAAGAAGGAAGGAACGGAAAAAAAAACACCTTGGTTGTCTACTGCAACTCCATCGTTCTCCTTTGGTGCCACACTGCCACGTTTTCTTTCTTCTTTCCCGCGTGTAATGTGGTGGTAATGGGTCCTTTATTTGTGACTTAATAATAAACTTTTTCTCTTGACAAAAATACCCCCAATGCAAAGGAAAACGACGCCGTTTTGTTTGAAGCAGCAAATTAAAAAAAAAAAGGTCTTCTCTTTCCCTTTTTCCCGTAGCGTCCTGTAGCGTCTTCTTCTCCGGCATGTGAGAACTGCTACGCTACGCCGCCACCTCCGCTACCGGCCGGCGTCGCGTCGCGTCGCAGGTTGTGGCGGTCGGCCGCCGCTACCCGCTACTGTAGCGGTTTAGCGCCGCTACTCACCGCTATTGACAACTATGGTTCGCCATTGTCTTGGCGGTTAAATTGGATTTCCTTGATCCTTCTATTATAGAGCCTTCCCACGAGTTTGATAACCTAGAGGTGACAGTTGCAGGTATTATGCTTGATGAGTTTAATAGGGATAATCCATATAACAGAGAATGTGATGACGCTAGTAAACACGTTGGAGAGAGTTCATATGAGATTGCCCATAGCTTAACCCTTTGTCATTCTGTTGATCTTGATACTTTACCCATTCTATTAGACCCTCAAAATCTGTTGAACCTTTTGCTGCCAATATTCCTGATTTGCATGCTGAAATTAGGAGTGAGTTTCCTTTAATTATAAACTTGCCGCTGAAGTGCACTGTAGGGCTCAAAGTTTTAATGTAAGTGACTATGTTATGGTAAGATAAGAAATAGTCCTAATCTTCACCCCACACACTTAAACAATTGCATGCTAGAGCTCTTGGGCCTTTTCAAATTTCCACTACATCTGAGTCTGATGCATATTTACTTTTTTTGGATACAAGTGGGAATTGAACGCATAACCTAATACAACCTACCCAAACCCTTCACCACTAGACCAATACTAGTGGCTTTGATGCATATTTACTTGATTTGCATGATGATTTGAATACTAGTCCTGTTTTCAAAATGGAGGATCTAACACCTTTCAGAGCCCCCCAACCTCCCTTATACAAGCCCCGTATCTCCTCAAGTTCCTACTGTTTCTCAGCAATCAGATGTGCTTGAGGTTGAGCTGAATGATATGTACATCAACTCTCTCTTGCTCCTCCTTTTCTCAACTACTTTGCAAAATGGAAGGATTGTTTTGTTTTGGATTCTACATTGAACCTGGAGGATGATTTTTGTTTGCTGGATTCTGCCCCATTGGCTCTTTCTTTGTCCTTTGACTCCCCGAAAGCGAGTTCTTCTCACTCAGGGGGAACGGTTTAGATTAGGCATTTGTGTTGTTATTTAATTTGGGGATTTTATTTTCCCAATTAGGGTTTTCAAATTGAAATTATTTATTGTCATTTGTTATTTAGGGATTTTATTCTATTTTGGATTATCTTATTCCAACATAGAATGGTAATAACTTATTAGGATGTTTAGTATGTTGGGTCTACAGATAGATAATCAATGCAAACAGTTGAGACGATTTTGATTATTATGAGACGCTTTTGATCATTATATGATATTTAGTTTTCTTTAGTCAAAAAGTATCTAGATTTTGAGTCAGAGGAGCACTTCACCCTAGAGAAGTACTTTCGGTTTATCAGGGGAGTACCCTGCCAAGAGAAGTACTCTTGGATTATTCTAGATTAAAAAACATTCTCTTAAAAAATAATACAACTATAAAAATCTAAAATGTTAAATTTCAATCACCTGACCTCAAACATGAGATTGTACTTTCCATCCCGGTTTCTCATCCTCAAATATGATTGACATGCTTCAGGGTCTTCCCCGGGAGGTAGAAGATATATGTCATATGTTTCTTCTTTGGTTTCAGTATGCTCTGCAGCTATAACTGCCTTGATTTCATCTACTGTCACAGATTTTGCTGACTAAAACAGTAGAAACACTCAGCATAATGTATCATCATGAAGACACTTGAAAATATGAAGAACCTTACTATGATAACATAGCATGGGTCACCTTCAATATGTAGGAGGGATTCTGGAATCCAGAGAATGGATTAAACTTGTTAATAATTTTTATATGTGCTGTTTGGAGATCTGGCTCAATAAAAGCTTTATACATAGGATATACCTACAAAAGGAAACAAAATAATAGGTAAGAATTATAGCAGATGTCTCTTGGTCTTACAGATGCATGTTTTCTAAACTCCTACAGACAAAAAATCTAACATGGGATCAGTGAAAAACCGTTTCAGAGATTTGATGTATTATTTCTTCAGGCTCTTGACCAGCACGTTGAATGTCCCGCAAAACACGCTTGACAAGGTCAAAATGAACTCCACCGGTGACAGAAACACGAAGATCAAGCAAAGGTCGTAACTTTTCACTTAAGGCATAGATGCCTTCTATGATTACAATGCGGGAGCTAGGGACTTCAACAGTCCTGTAATGAAAAGAGTACAAAAGAAACCAATAAAATAATAGTATAAATGCAATAAAATCCTGGTTTGGAATAATATGATGATTTATAAGTGCTAATGCGTATCCAAATTTAAACATTCTGTCCTGCACCCCTTCTATCCACACAATAGACATTCATGTGCATGTATCTGCTTTGTGTCTATCAATATCTGAGTCTGTAGATGTTGGAGGGAAAATGCACACATAGGTGCACATTTTCCCATGCTAAGGAGTTAATAATAGAAAGAAGGGGAGAGACAGATAGCAATAAACAAACAACAATATATTACAACACAATATTATGCATGTGTTTGTATAAAGTGTCAATTCAACCCAAAAACTTAAATTGTTGGGTGAAGGCCACATTAATTATTTTATATCATACTTCTCTTATATCAACATCAACATCAACAACACCTTTATCCCAAATTAATTGGGGTCGGTGGTAGATGAACCCACATGAAAGATACAAAACGGTTGAATAAAAAAATAAAAAAATAAAAAAATAAAAAAATAAAAATAAAAATAAAAATAAAAATAAACAAATAAAATAAAAATATAAAATAAGATAAAATAAAATAACAATATATGTATATATAAATAAATAAAAGTAAAAAAGAAAGGGACAAGAAGAAGTGGGGGAAATGAAGGGGAAAAGGACTAAAAAGGGACCATCTGGAACATAGGAATAACAGCGGGTCTAACCCTCCACCTACCTGTGCTAAGAGTCCATTGGGCTTGAAGGATGTACAATGCATAGGCCCACCTACCTGTGCTAAGAAGCTCCATAATATTTAATTTTTTATTAGAAGAATGGGAAGCGGTGAGAATTAAACTTGTGACCACTTGACCACAAAGGCTCTAAAACCATGTATAGCGTCAATTCAACCCAAAAGCTTAAGTTGATAGGTGAAGACCAAATTAATGATTTTATATCATATTTCTCTAATAGTTTATGAACTATTAGGTGTGTGTTTGGTAGTGTTTACCATTAACAACTTTTTTTACAATAGCAATTTAGGGTAAATTATAACATATTTGGGTATAAGCGAGTAAAACTGATTATAATTGCTGATTTTTTTCATTTACACTGAAGTATCACTTAAAAAAACTATGTTTTGAGCATTTTTCTTCTAGGTTGTCAGTAGCAGCCCGTAGCGCCGCTAAACCGCTACCGTAGCGGGTAGCGGCGGTCGGCCGCTACAAACCGCGACGCTACGCGACTTTGGCCGTAGCGGAAGGTAGCGGCGTAGCGTAGCGTCAATACCGCTACCCGTTACACCGCTACACCACTCCCATGTTGGAATTTGATGGAGAATCCGGAGATGATGATGATTTTCTTCATTAGTTCACTTCTTGTACTTGACTATTTGACAATTTTATTGTTCATTTGTGTTTAATTTTGGATCCTTCTTTTATGTTCCTTGTATTTGACATTGATTATGAATTATGTGTTTGATTTTGTGTGACTTCTTATGTTTGAGCATTAATACTAAAAGCAGTATTGCCTCGTATCTTGACTGTTAGTATAATATATGTGGAATTAATACTTCACCGTAGCGGCAATACCGCGACCCGCTACACCGCTATACCATTTTCGGGGTCGGCCGCTACCGGCCGCTAACTGCTATTGACAACTATGTTTTTCTTATGATCATCTCTCGTTATTTGGTACCTCTAAACATTCTTACCATATTCGCCCCATTGCCCCATTAAAGAACAGGTTATATGTTGTTACTAAACAAATCATTGTGTACCCTTTTTAGTAATTTCCCATGTAAAAGCGATTTTCTATTCAAACAAAACATACTATCTTAAAATCACTTTACAGTTAACATATCCAAACATGAAACTGATTTCATCATAACCGAATATTGAATAATCTTTTATCCTCAGATAATCCAAACACAATCCAAAAGTTCCAGATAAACAAAAATTACAAGGACTTTCCCCACAAAGCATTTCAAATAATAGCTTGATCAATTGAAAGCATAGTTATATATTACTAACTTTTGAATTCTCTTTTTCAGGTTTTCCTATTTATGATAATAAACCTAGATGGAACAGCTACAAAACAAACTTTTGCATATTCTAAAAAGAGGAAGTTGAAAGGTACCCAACCTGTAACCTACGCGAGAACTGGACTTGAAATCATATATTGGAACCTGAACAGGCTTCCCTGCTTTAAGGCCCTGTATATTTTTGAGCAAGGTATCATAATCCGTCAACCGAGGGTCTGTTTCAATAACAATGACATCAGAACTCTTGGTTGCATTACATCCCTTCCTAATTCTTGATTATTGACTAAGAGGATAAACAAGTAAAAGTTTTTTTTAGAAATGAAAAGAGTAAAATAAGATTAGATACGGGAACTCGTCCAAATTGTTAGCAATAGATGATAAGCATCTGAACATGCTTGTTCCTCCAATCAGCAAAATATTCCCCGGAAGTAGTCACAACATATATGTGCATAGAGCGTATCAAGTGAGAGCATGATAGTTGAGAGAAAACCATCCATGTAAGATTGAATGGTTAAGATTGACTCCTCTCAGGCTCTCACTTGATATGCCCCTTATATATATGTGTGTGTGTGTGTGTTATGGATACAAAAGAATCAGTAATTGAATAATATTTAATATTGCAAATGTCACATGGAAATCATGACATAGATCCAAGGTAGATGTTGGCTCTTTCAGAAAAATAACATATATTGAGCTTCTACAGTTGTCAATAAATAAGATTAGAAAGTTGCTCCACCTAAGTGTAGTAAAATGATTTTAGGATTATTGGCCAGGCAGCATAAAAGAGATAGCCATGGACAGTGGGGGAATCTTTTGAGTTTTAAGGCCATCAGGGAGAAGCAAATCCCCTCACCCTCATATATATATATATATATATATTTATAGGAAAAGGTGATTTGTTGGTGCTTTTAATGGTTGTCTTATCTCACTCCACCATTTGATTCTGTTATGGCTCTGGATTTGATCACAAGATATTTACAGTAATGGGTTTTGGAAAGGATGAGAGAAGAAAGAAGATGAAGGAAAGAATGGTGTTATTGATGGAAGATTGCAAGAATACACGCATACAAGAACACAAGACCAAAGCTCTTCACGGGACTCTCCCTTCACTTTGAGAATATATCAGTCTCACAACAATGCTCCAAAGTGTCTAACCCAATCACAAGCCCAGCCTTATATACTGGCAACACTTCCCACCTCAGGACTAACTAACTAACCACATCTCACTGTGCTCGAAACTACCCAAGCCCCTATTTAGGAATATTCCTGCGGGAATATACTTTCCACACAGCAGGTATCCCCCCCTCCCCAAAAAAACACTAGACGTATCAGATTCAATTTCAAAATTTGCTGTATATATAATGTGTCTAATGATCTCTCATTAATGTTGCTTGTTCATACTAAAGTTCCACCATTGGCCAAAGACAGAGAAAAAAAAGACACACACACACACGACACAACTATAGCTATGGAGAATTAACTTTGACCTACGCAAGTTCAAATCTATATACTCATGGGTAACAAGAAGCAACAATCAGTCTTGCAACACTCACTCATAACCAAAAAAGAAATAAATAAGATCAAGAATACATTGTAAAACAGATGAAGAGAAAACTTACCATCAAAGTTGCCATCTATGATTCGGCTAGAATCATTGTAATTGTCCATTGTTATGACAGCTAAGCTTGGCATAAAATTGACGACCTTGTCAGTGAAAACAGTTTTCCCTGCTCCAGAGGGACCTGCAACTCCTACTAATATAAGCCCATCATTCTTTTGAGCCAACAACTGGCATGCCCGAATAACTATGAAGAATCCTTTCTCAAATGACAAAGAATCCTGGATTGGAACAATTTCATAGCGATCACAGTCCTTTCTTTTAACTAGTTGAACCTGATCTCGCAATAGACCAGAGCGTCGTCGAGGCGATTCAATTTCAGAAACAGTAGCTTGTGCCATTAGGGATACCAAAGATGTTCATTCCATATGCTGCAGAAAAGGAAAAGGGCAATGAAAATGCAACAGCAGAAGAAGGTAACAAAATTGGGACATATAATGACATAAAACTTCTTAAATTGCACATGGAATCAAGAGATGGCAATTTGACATTTCAAAACATATAATATAGAAACAAAATATATTTTAATTTCTGCCTTTGCAGTTTACAATTTTACTGGATGTGTCGACCATAAATTGATCATAGCATTCAAATGGGTATGAGCAATTCCTACTCATAATTATCAGTCAACTTTTTGATGGCCAATCAAGATCTAAGGTTCAAATATATGTAAAAAATTAAAAAAAATTAAAACCTACAATTTCATGCTATAGAATATATGTTGAAGCAAATAAGTACTCCTGCGTTATAGCAAAACAATTAGTTGAAGGGAAACAACTATCACTATCCCAATGTTTATAGCAGTAATGAAAATCCATATCCACATATGACGCCATTCATTCAATTAAAAAATGCCCGGAGATCTAATTTGCTCCACAAGGCATGGTTTTGTTACCTAAACTGGTTCTTCAAGGGATAAATCAAAAGCAGTGGTATCAACTATAATATACTCTTCTAAATTTTCTGAAACGGAATAGATGGGATAAAATTGAAATAAATAAATAGATTTTGAACCTATCAAGCAAAATAGAGAACACAATTCATAGAACAATTATGAACAACGTCAAAATTATCATAAGCAGGAAAAAGAAACTAAATATTGGAAAATCACTGCGAAGTGCGGAATCGAACTTTCAGAAAAGTAAAGAAATTAAAAAAGGATCGGAACCTGGTGTCTTCAGTGGACGCTTTTCCAACTTGCTGAGGAACCCAGAGCAGAGTACAGCGGAATAATCATAAGCAGGTAGCTATTGTTGGATTCTCGAATTTTTATTTTTCACATAAAAACCGGTTTAATATGACACGTGGGACTCCATCGTATGATAACTCCAAAATGTTCGGCAGACACGAGTCATAGCTGGTCATCCTTAGTATACTTGTTCTTTTTTTTATATATATATTCCGATCTATTCATTTTCGCAACTAATTCTATTTGGGGATGATTTAAAATTAAGATTTTAAATCCTTTTCAAATATGGTATCGAAGAGATTCGAACATATGCTCTTACCCCAACCTAGTTAGCTCCTCCCATGCGCCAACTTCATTAGTATACTTCTATCATACTATCAATTTGTTCACTAAAAACATTTATTCATCATATGCTGATGATGTATTGCATCACCATTTTTCAATCCGATATATTATGGGATAGCTATTCTGCCTATTCTTATTTTGTGTATCATTACTTATGTCTCTCAACACCGTTAGATTACAATCTCATCCAATGGTGGAGATTTGCAGAATAAAATAAATTATTTTCCTCTTTCTTTCTCCTTACTGCCTCCCACACTCTCTCTCTCCTCCCATTTCTCTCTATCGATTTGCATAATTTACCACCTGAATTTATATTTGAATCTAAATCCATGCAATAATTAATGGCATGATAGTTCTATTGGATAATTATAATTTTCAAAATTTCTTGAATATGATATAATTGAACACAACAAAAATCACAAAATTACAAAAAAAAATGAAAACCACAAATAACCCTTCATTTGAATTAATCCACCATTACCGTAACGTTTCTACTTTGCTGTTAAAATTTGAAACGAATAAACTTATCTACTTCTTCTTATCTTGTTTTACACCTTGAAGTAAGGAAATGATCTCTGTTCTCTCTATGTTACGCTCAACAATAGGCATACCCGATTCCATAACACAGGGCATCTGAGTTTATTTTTCTTGACACACCATTTCAATTTTTTATGTAAATGCTCATAACAATGGCTGGGTTGGATGAATTGAGAAAAAAATTTGCACCTTTTTTTTTATGCTGAAGCGTCATTGAAGAAAGAGAAATGGGAGGACAGAGAAAGAGTGAGAGGCAATAGGAAAGAAAAAGAGGTAAAAGAATTTATTTTATATCATAAATCTCCACTGTTGGATGAGATTGTTATCTAACGATATTGAAAAGGGTAGGCAAAGGTAGGCAAAATAAGAGTATGCATAATAACCTCTCCCTTATATTATAGCAATAAATAATTTTGTCTATTATAAAAGTTATGGCCTTCTCACCAGGATGGTGCACTGAGATTTATTTGATGATACCCTAAATATATATTTATTGTATTCATAAAAGACAATATTTAATATTATGAAGAATTGGCAATTTATTTGTCAATATTGGTAAGTGGATAAAAAAAATTTGGACAATGCTTGTTTGAGTATGTGAAGTAAGTGCACATTCTTCACTTCACGTTGACATTTTTCACTAAGATCACATTAGATAGCTAGGTGGAGTAATTAATTTCTCGTATTACTCCCGCTTCAATAAGCTTTTTGACTTCATCATCAACAACTTTTTGCTTTTGAGGCGCAATTTTCCATTTCTTTTGAGTCATGGGTTTGGCTTTTGGATCTAGGAGAGATGGTGGAAATAGGAGTTTAGGTCAATGTTTGGCATGTCGGCAGTTGTCCTGGCAAAGATATCCTTATTTTTCATAAGGACTTCAATTATTCATTTTTTTTCGTCTCTGGGCATATGTTCCGAATTTTTGTGGTGTTCTCAAGTTAAGGACCAACCTGGATTTCTTCTAAGTTCCTATCTTGTTGGGGGTGTACATGTCGCAACCCTTCTCATACATCCAAATTAGTCATATTTATGGATGTTTTCCCTTTTTCAGTGACTGTGAGATGGTATCTTGGGGATGGTTCATCACCACTTTTGAGGCTAACATTATAACAACTTCTAGCCAATTCTTGATCACCTCTTATTGCTACTACCCTATCTTGAGGGTCTTTAAACTTAATAAGCAAGTGTGGCATAGAAATAATTCCCCTGAGGCTAAGAATGGTTGATCTACCTATAATAACATTGTAAGCAGATGGGCAATTTATAACATAAAAATGAACCTTGACGATTTTCGCTCTAGGTAAGATTCCAAGGTGACTTGTAATTCAATGATTCCTTTAGCCTGCACACATTTTCCTGAGAATCTTAGCAGTTTAGTCTGGTTAGGTGTCATTTGTTGCTATAGGATGTTCATTCCTTTAAAGGCTTCCCAGAATATTATTTCGTCAGAACTACCATTATCAATGAAGATTCTTTCCACCTGCAAATTTGTCATGTAAGCAGAGATGAACTAGAGGATCATCATGTTCAGGAAGTATGTCGCCATAGTCATCTTCATCGAAACTTATTGGAATTTTCATTCCTAGGCAAAATTGAACCATTAGACGATTAGTGACAGTCATTATGGCTTTCAAATGCCTTTTTCTCTGGGAGCATGTCTCTCCCCCGCCTGCAACACCTCGAATAATATTCCCCAACACCCTTATGACATTATTGGATAATAGGGGTTGGTTGTGCTCGCGTGCCATAGGTTGTTCACTCTGTTGTCTTCTTTGGCATGAGGATATTTCCATACGCCTATCATCTCGCCCATAGTTGGTTTGCCTGTAGTTTCACATATCTTGGTAATTTCTACAAGGAAGGTTTCTATCTTGGTCTGAGCTTCTATCTCACTTTCTCTAAAAAAAATTCTTATTTGCAATTAGTGACAAACTTTTTGAGTTTGCCTTCTCTAATCAGAGCCTCAATAGTATTTTTGAGGTCAAAACAATCTTTCGTTGAATGTCCTACGTCTTCATGAAATTTACAAAATTTAGTGTCATCCAATCTGCCTTTCATTTTGATTGGAGCTGGCTTGGCGACATTGACAAAGCCAGCTTGGAAAACTTCCTTCATTATGCGAGATCAAGACGTGTTTAGAGGCGTAAAGTTTTCAAACCTTTTTCTCTCCTTGAACCTCCTTTGGAAGTCTCGCTTAAATTCACTGGATGCAGGCTTTTCACTTAGGCCTTCACGAGATCGTTGATAATCTTCAAGATTTATGAATTTCTCAAGGGTTTTATAATTCTCATGTTGAATGAGAATTGAAATCTTATGTTGTAGAGATAAGAAGCATGTGGGACCCATGTGTTAGAAAAAATTATATGTAGGACCCATGTCAGCGCGGAAATCGAAGGGTGTGTAGAAAAATTTTAATTCTCAAACCTCGCGCGTAATTCTTCAGTGGTCTTTGGCCTTTGTTTTGCCAGAGACGTGCAAAATGGTCTATCCTACATACTGTCATAGATAAGATATATAGAGACTTGGGGATCAAGATCTCTTACCAATAAAGCTTTATCAAAAAATCTGTTCAAGAAATTTCACAAGGTTTCTCTAGCACCTTGCTTCAAAGTTTTCAACGCATGCATGGATTTGTACTAAGCTTTGCTAGTTGCAAATATCACCAAGAACTAGATGGCGAGATCCTCCCAATCATTGATGGAATTAGGTGGCAAAGTTGAATACCACCTTAGAGCAACTTCCTTCAACGTGGTTGGGAAGAGACGCCAACCTATGGCATTAGGTATGTCATGAGCAATCATATTTGTCTGGAATTGTTCCATATGTTCTTGAGGATCTCCCTTTCCATTGTACTTTTTTATAGTAATTTTGATATCTTTGGGAAGTGGTAGGTCCATGATATGCAAGGTAAAAGGATGAGCTACCTTGGAAATTGGTCTTGATTCTTATGGGAATTGTGATCCATATAATGGTCAGCATTATGGTTCATATGAGGCTGATGAACTTCTATCATTTGTTTATCTTTTTCCAATGGACTAGAGTATTTTTTAGAATGTTTTGGTAAATGCTCATTTTAATCAAATTTTTCATCTGCATTGGAATTTTTTTCATGCTCAACTTGTGATTTTTTCGATTTCAGTAATTCTTTTTGTTGTTCCTCAATATTTTGATTTTGTTGCCCGAGGAAATCCAGGATTTGTTGATTTGTTGGTAGTGGATTATCTTGCTAAGGAGAAATTGGATTTATGGATGAGGCTATTCTCTTACGAGATGCCTCGTCAGAGAATGGGAGTCAAAATTTATTGTCCCCACAGACGGCGCCAATGATAGGTCCAATAAATATTGGGCTGGGCTTGATCACACATGTTTGAGATTGAATGATGTTGATGAAGAGAAAGATAGATGGCAAGATAACTTACCAAGATTGTGGGATGATTGGCGAGATGGTACATCAACAACTTGCATATCTAGGCAGTTTGGAAGTGACTGGGGTACCTGCAAGACACTCTAACACTCAAGCTAGTTTAGTATTCAAGGAGGTTCAAGTATTCAAAGAGAGATATCATACCTGGGCTAAATGTCTCTGTATTTATAATATTGAGCGCCTTGTTTCATATCACCTTTCATAGGATGATGATCACTTTCATTGGTGGAGAGGGTGGCCTCTCTCATGTTATTCCTTGATGGGCAAGTCTATTC